TAAATGAGATGCTGGAGTTTTCAGCTCTCTGAGGAATGACGTCATTGTGCCCTTGATACGAAAGCTGCCCATTTGCCCTTGGGAAATGCTCTCCCTGCAAAAGGTATTCAGTTGCTTCAAGTTCTGTGCAAATGAAGCAGGAGACAACCAAAAGAAGCCTGGGAAGGCTGAGACTCACACATTGTGGCCATACCCAGTGTTGCATGCCTGGGCAAGGTAATACTTTCCTAATTTTGTATTATAATGTTTTTAATCTGTTTCTGTTTGTTTGACTGATTTAATCCTTCCCACTCCAGGCTCGAGCATGCAGGGCTGTGGAGAAACTGAGAACTACATCAACCAGGTGGTTCCAATGGATTTGGTGCAAATTTTTGTGAATCAACAGGTTCCCAGGCAGACTGCAGTCTACCCCTTACAGGGGAATGACTTCCTAAAGAGAAGAGGAGCAGGTGATCTTCAGTATCTCTGTTAATCTTACTTCCCTCCATCTGCTGGATGAGTATTTTTATGGGACAGAATACCCTAGTCTGGTTTATTAAGTCCTTCTGTCATTCATAATGTTTAAGATTCACATCCTCTGTATTGTTATATTAGTATCTTTGAAGAATATTGCTATTAAATTTGGTAGGCTCACAGATCAAAGACACTGCAGTGGACAAGACAATCAGCTCCTCCATGATCAGTACTCTGTTTTAAATTATTCAGTTTGACAACAATTTAGGCTGCTGCTGTGCTGAGTTCTCTGATCAATACCATCTTGCTGCTCTCTTTTTCTACTCCCATCTGCTATTTTCAACTTTTGCTCTTAGTTTTCCACTTGGATTGTAAAGTCCTTGAATCATGATCGTTGCTTTGTTCTTTGTTTGTAAAGTGCCTAGAGCAATTGAGTCCCAGTCTATAACTAGTGTGCCCAAATGGTGTAATAAAATAAATGTGTTACAATTACTACCGACGCTGCTGTTGTTATCGTATCCATGACCATATAGGTGATAAATGAATGGCAGTAAAGTTGTAAGTTTTCCTTTTTATCACACAATGCATCCCACACATCTGAAGAAGGTGTTCTCACTGCCATAGCCATAACTGTTGGAAAGACCTTACCACTAGGCAGAAGGGTAGTTCAAGTTTAACTGAGCCTGTGGAGTTGCTATTGGTGCTGTCAGAAAGCTCTCTGGTAATCAGATGTTGGCAAAGAAACTCCCTGATAAGCTTGAATTTTCATAGCCACCCTTCACTCATTGCAATTTTGCTCCATCTTAATGCAAGATAAATACAGCCGAGGAAGCCAGAGGGAAAAAGGGCAGTTAGAAACCAAAGTGTTATGCCACCAGCCCTTTTGCTTCCACCAAAGGAAGATTTCACCAAAATCCCTCTGTCTATGCAAGTATTCTCTCAGCTTTATTAAATCTATTTATTAGGCAACTGTATAATATTTTTTCTGGTTCATTACTAGTAGGAGGCATTTCACATATTTGCCTACATATTGTAAACCAAAATGTTAGCACATTGATTAGTAAAACAATAGTGCATACTATTACACACACATCTGCACACACACTCTGTAATGAAGTCTTTAGAAAAAGTTCCTAAACTCCTACAGTATGAAGATGACTAAGCACTACATGTAAGCTGGGTCCTCCTAGTTGACCCAGACCTAAGCAAGATCCTATCCTTCCCAGCATCCATCCCCTTCCTACCCAGGCTGGATTGGTGTTAGATGTTTATTTTCTCTGTTTCAACCAAGTGTCAGCAGGAGGTCCTGAAGGGACCAGCTGTGTCCTCTAACAGGAGTTGTGGCCCCTAATGGTGGGGTGGGGAATGTAATGGACTTTCCTGGAAAAGTAAGGGGGAGGAGGAGCACCCTTTGTACCATCTCGAACTGAGCCTTTGGTGTTTGCTACAGTCCTGCAGGGATCTGTCCTGGCTTCTCCTCACTGCCAAGGCAATGTCTGAGGTGGATGGAGGGTGGGTATCAAGATTATTCAAACTGAAATGCCTGTGAGTCCTCAGCCCTTCTTGTGAGGTTGTCAAAAGATTATTGGCAATTTTGTACTGACAAAGACAATGCCTTGATGAGCCAAAATAGCCTTCCTGACTCAATTCAAAAATAACATCATAACAGCCACTCTATCAGTCATCAAGTAATGCGGTCAGGTAAACTGGGGAGGCTGGGAAAGAGGGATTCAGCTAGGAGAAAAAGAAAGATCTCACCAATTATCCACACTTTCCAAAATCCTCGTCCCTTGTTTTCAAAATTAATGACCTGGAGACATCTGATGTTGTTTTAGTATTATTTTGGGGTTTTGGTAACTTACTGTAAGGATCACTATGGCCAAGGCATATTCTGGAAGAATAATCGCCTCACTGTACTAGTGTTTTTCACCTCTTTTCCATATATATAGCTGAAAGTTAAGGTGAATTCTGGTCAACACCTATAACGTTTGAGATATTAAACATTCAAGAGCTGTGTTTCTGTTAGCAAGAGTGGGTATGCTTATGTGTTCCTATATTTTAAGCCCACTAAGTAGAAGCGCTCTGTGTCCTCTGTTCCCTAAGGAAATCTAGAGAAGGTCTTTTATGTAGGAAGCCCTTTTTTCATTATAAAATGTACAAAGGCTACTACTAAATGTATCAAAATTAGTTCTTTTATCTCTAATATAAAAGCAATGAATTCTTCATGCAGCAAAAGTCCATAGCATTCTTGCAGATGGTTTTGTCACTGGAGTCATGTCAATCCCTTATTGCCAAATGGTAAAGCCCACTTGTGAGTTAATGATGCATTTGGGGTTTTAATACTCTAGTGACAGAAGGAACAGTAATGAATCTCACAGAACGTCATTTCAGGGCATGAACCTGATATTCAATGGGTTGGAAAGAGTCACCTTCAAGATTGTCAAACTACCACACTATATTTTGTTCCTTCTGATGCTGTACACTGTCTTTTTCCTACCTCAGCTCTGCAAGATGCAGTTTCACTTCAGAGTGTATCACTGAAGTGTAGCAGTCTATCAAAAGCTGAACAGCATGCATAACATTAATTGTTGCCAGACTCTAGCTCAGAATATTAGTCTAAAAATATCCCTATAGCAGAGGGGTCTTTAATAAACGAAACATGGCCATGCAATAGATTACAGAATGCCATTTTTATTAGCCTTACTTCAACTGCTGAACAATTTAGAGGGAGCCAAAGAATATGCCCAGTTCTTTGATTCAGGCTGGTCAGTCTTATTTGTGGCTTCATGGAAAAGCTTTAGAAGCAATGAAAGAAACTGCATTGTTTTTTCAGTACCCCTCCCCCTGCCTTTAAGGTACAGAATGCAATTTCAGGATGTATTGACACAAATGTGTTTTTATTGGTTCCTGTAGGCTATAATGTATCCAAGATATGACTGCGGCAACCTAAAAAACAATTAGCATCTGTAAAGCAGTCTGTGACCATGAGATTACTTCACAAAATGAAGATTTAACATGCAGCTTCCCCAGAAATTAGTTGTGTTTGGGTCTGTCTTTTCTGTTCTTTTGTTCCTTTATTGATCCCTTCAGGCAGAAAGAAACGGTGAGTTATCCGATTAAAATGTGTACAAAACTGTAGGGAAATCCTGCACAGCTGCTAATGACACCTGATTTGATGCTGGAAGTAAATTCAGCTGGGTGTTGGTCAGAGCTCCTGAGTGATTTTAATAGCTGATTAAGTAATTTAAGAAAGGTTCAAGGTAGTGCAAAAGCAACAACAGACTTACAGTGCCATTTTTAAAAACAGATGGCAACATTTAAATGATAAAACAAGTAAATATTTGTCTAGTTTGTAGAAGTATCATAGCATGCATGCTGCAAGGAGTATGGATTTTTCTTCCCAAAGGTGGAATTATTTGTTATTTTTTAAATGCTTACTGAGGTTTAAGAGATTCTGTTGAAATATTTCACTAACAGCAAGTCGAGTTGGTGATGTGCTTACAAAGTTTCTGAAAGCACAGGCAAGCGCCTCAACACTAAATATTCACCCTAAAACAAATCTGAAATCTGTTTAATTTTCCTAGTGTATTTTGATCAAGAGAAGGTGATATGGTCTGCAAAAGGCTTGTATAGGCTTGTTTGTATATTTGCCAGTGCATTTGCCAAATGTGTTTTCCTAACTCTATTATTTTGAACTTGCAGGCTCGTGACAGGAAAAGTATTGAAAGCAAAACACAGCTAAAGCCACCCAGCATGTCTTGGTGAGAAGAAAATTCAACTCAACATCATTTCAAAACAGATTTATAAATTGCTACATATTTCTCTGAAAATGGAGCAAGTTTATAATCTTTTCCACATTCATTTTAGAGTGAAACCAATATGGGGTGGAAGGTTATTGTTGTTGTAATGTGCACACGGCAGATTGCATTCATAATTCAATCCCACCGCAGATGATGCAAATTTTGCTCAGTTTCTTGTGAGCACGGTGAGAATAGTCCCAAGTTGCATTTTGCCTTCTAGTGGTACTATTTAGTACAGAGTACTTCTCTACAGGGGAAACATGTGGGAACAACTCAGCCATTTCTGTATTCTCAGCAGCAAAAGAAACATTTTTCCTCTTTTGGAATGAAAGATGGGACATGGTGGGTTATTAACAGCACACATCAAATTCTTCCCCTGCCAGTACCAAATGCAAGACATGCATGAAAAGAATACCACTCTCAGACATTTCAGAGTACTCAAAATCCCTGTCCCTGCCTCTATGAATGCACTATTATTTTGTTGAATGAATACAAAGAGATTTATGGCTCACATACTGCTTAATGCCCTCTACAGAATACTCTATTTCAAGGACACATAATGCTTTACGAAAAGTTAGAATTCTTCACATACCTCTTCTGTACTGGGCCTAATTTTGCACTATTTGTCAACAATCGCTCTCCAAAGTCCTCCCACTTTTGATCTAAATGCTCCCAGAGTGTCTGTAAAGCCACAGGCAGACGTTCTTTTTCCAAATCATTTGCCAGCTGAAAACATTACTGCTCCTCTGCTGTTTGTCTCCGACCTCTGTCAGATGTTATCCTCCCAGCATTGCCAGCAAAGAAGGGATCATATGAGGGATCTCGAATCTATTCCAGGTAAAAACAGTCAGGGTTGACTTAAATGGGTTTGAGCTAGGGCAGATGACATTGTTCAAGACTGATTTGGAAGTGCTCATAGCAGCACACCTGCCCAGGGCAGGTCTGTGAGGGTTGTACCTCCAGCTGGAGGACAAAGGTGGACAGTGGGCGTGAGGTCTCAGCCCAGCATCGCTAGACATAGATGGTCCATTAAGGCCCCCAGGAAGGCACAGAGGAGTATGGGCTAGCGGCAGGAATAGTCACAAAATGTTCCGGTATACCCATAGCAAAGGATATTTCATTCTTCCCATATAGTGATCTCAGAGTTATTCTGGCACTGAAATAATGTCTTAAAAAATATAGCTCCTCCTTCCCTTTTCAGCTGTCCCATGCTGTGATAGGAAAGACAAGCAGTGGACATTCTGGATTTTGTTTTTTGTTTTGTTCTTAAACACAGAGGTAGATAAGAGTTCATGAGTGATTTCCAGATGATGATTTTTTCTCAGACTTTCATGAGCAATTTGAAAAATTAAATGCACTTATTTCCTTGTGTGTTTGTGAACAACTTACATGAAGGGAGAAAGAGGAAAGTGAGTGAATAAATTGCTGTTTGAGTGTTATCATTCGGCGTTACTGATGGATGTTATTAAAATGGAGGGGGGAATGGATGGTAAGAAAACTGTACTTTTAGAAGGGAGTTTCAATATAAACAGAAGTCAGTGTGATGAATATTATGAGCACAAGATACTGTTAGATAATTGCTAGAACTTCTGTTTGAAGAAGAGCACAAGAGGGAAGGCCATTATGGAAAATACTTCTTTCTAGTGCCCTCTAGACATTGGCTTGGTGGTTATGTTTACATTTGCTATTTCAGATTGAGATCCTATCATAGATGTTCCCAGATAGCAAATAAAGAACACACACAGTGATAGAATGAGCAACATCTGTGTATATAAATATATTTTTTCTATGTTGAGTTTTTACAAAGGACTCTCAACATCTACCATTCACCAATTACATTTTGCAAACACAAATCTAAAGGTGAAAACATTTTATGAATTCTAGTACATGCCAAGTTTGTGACTGTACTGACCTTGCTTTAAAAAGCTTGCCTCTCTCTTTTTTCCAAAGATCAGGAATCTACTTGAAAGAAATTGCTAAAATAGAATGACATTGCTATTACATTCCTTTAAATGATGAAAGTGTCAGAGAGACAGGAAAAGTTGCTGTCTTCAGAAAGATTCATACACATTCAGTTTGGGTTTCTTTTTTCTTCCCCCCCCCCTTACTATATTCTATGTAGAGTAAAAATTTGTTCTGTTACAAAGCTTATCTTTTTCATGTCAGCTTATACTGTCTGCTATATTGCAAAATGCAGTCAGGTTTCACATTGAAATGGAAGTGGTTTTAGAAAAACACAGCCAATTTACCTGCCCTTTGAGGTTCTTAATAACATTAGAAATGTACATGCATCACAGCAAGGTCTCGGAAGAGTGATTTTGTTAAAAGACAATCATCAAATAAAGTATGGATTTTCAACAATCAAAGGATGAAAGTGCACTTACCCTTTGTGGCAGGGTTTGCATGTAATGACAAATTTCATCTCAGAGGGCTTGATCTGGCTGTCACTGAAATCAATGGCAAAACTTCCATGTACTTTAGGGAAGAAAAGAACAGGTCAAAAAAGTTACATACTGATTTAGGACAAAGCACTGTTTTCTGTGGCTTTAATGTGGTCTATTTTTTTTGTGTATTTTTAATATCTAGTAGTTGAATTGGGACTGGAATAGAAAGCCCACTGTATTCCAGATCTTAACTCCTCTACGGTCTGTAAACATGAATGTCCAAACTTCAATGTATTTATGCTCATGTCCGATGATACCTCACCCTTTCTTGTTTAGACATCAAGTTCTAATTATAATATGCTGTCACTTTGGGGAAAAATTATAACAGAAACCACTGGAAAAATAACAGTCCTATTATCAAGTGACAATGGTATTAATGTTGGGGACCTTGACCCATGGCGCATCTGGGGTCAGAAAATCAGACACTGGACTTTTGCACCAGACTCTAGTTTGGTTAGTGAATCACATTAAGGGTGGAAAAGTAAGACTGATGGTAGCTTAGAGATGAGAAAATGCCTGTTTGGGTTACAACCTTTCTGACCTTCCCCACCCTGTTTGAACACAGTTCTCTGTATTTCATGGGGCTGTTGGCTGAGAAAAGATTTCTGACCCAAGTATCACTGTTTTCAGAGTTATAAGCTCTGTTTCTCAGAGGCAGGCTAGCAATGGAGAGAAATTTTCCACTCCCAGGTTATACCCAAGGACTTGAAAGCCCTGCAGTACATTTTGGCTAACAGGCACTCTGTGAAACAGGTATGTTGTTTGTAGTTGAACAGACCACTCAGCATGCATTAATTAACATTTTAGGCAATACTTTATGCTGGACTTCAAGGTGAAAAAAAAAGAATTTTTATTTTATTTTTTTTTTTCCCTATCAGATGAACAATTAGACATTTAATAACAGAAATAGAAAACAGAGTTCTGAAAACAGAGCCATCTGAGCTCAGTCCTCTGATGTCAGCTTGGGATTTTCTCCTAGGATGTCTTCCAAAAATTGGATGGAGGCAGATTCAAGCACCTATTCCCCTGGCAGAACTGAGAACTTGCTTTAGATGTTTTTTATTCTCCAAGTTTGTTCGAATAATAATTAATAGCAAGTGAAGCATGTGCTAAATCTCCTCCTTTTACTCTATTCCCTCCCTATTGTGGTTAGTGGGACACTAAATTCTTTGTAGTTTAGATTCACCATATCTGATTTGGTTTTCCTGCCTGAAGAGGTTTTGTTTCATTTTGCATCTGGATGTTTGCTTGACTCTATCCTTAAAGTCTTAATCTCCAAACTTATTCATGCTAATTTGAAAGGGTTTAGCATATGCTGGGAATGAATTATGGCTTGCTGCAGTATTTGGAATGTTTAAAAAAAATTCTATACCAACACATTCGCCTATTATTTTTCTTAGTTCATCCTTGACATTACAAAGTAAGTAGAAGTGATACAAAAATGTCATGATAGAGAACGAAATTTCTGAACTGTAGAGACCCAACATGCACATCTTTAACTTCATGAGGCTTTATGAGGGTCTTCAATAGCCATTTCATACATGCATGTGTCTAGCACTACTTTACATAATAGTTATGCATTACTGATTGTGTACAGGTGGAAAAACTGAGATACAAAGACCCTTTGCAGTTTTGCAGATCATTTTCAAGCTAATCTACCTTTTAAGCTGCAGTTTTAGGAGTGTCATTAATGTGATTGCTTTTGCACTACATCTGGTGAGTGTGCAGAGATGATTCAAACAGCTCATTAACAGCTCACGTGGGTCTTGGAAGCAGCACAAACTTCAGACTGGTTTCATTTATCCTGCTTCTGAATAGGCAAATTAACCCATGCTGAACCACTTGCTATTTAGGTACAGATTCACACATCCAACCTTATCCGTATGATGCTAGCTCAGATATCTCAGACTTACTGTGCAAGTTTCAGTGTAAGCATAGATGGTATGACAAGGTAGATACCTAGGTCTACTAATGGCCACTGAGATTTTCAAGCGGCTTTCCCTGTAATAAATAAACACTGACAAGACTGTCTTTAAATTATATGGGCTCAACCTCAGCAAACAAAAATATCAAGCCTGCTGCATATAAAGAAATCTGTCCGAGTTTATAATAATCAAAAGTCAAATAGGTGAAGGGTGGTTTGTTAATGTTACTGAAGAAGATTTTACCTAGTATTTGTCTTGTGTTTACTAATTTTAAGATTTGTTTCATTTTGGATCTCCAGCAATCCAGGGAGAACTATGCAAAAAAGCATATAGAGATCTAAAATGATTCTAGACTTTTCTAACTGCCAGACTGTTAACGCTTTTTAAAGCAAAGTAAAACTTGTTAAAAAATGAACAGTTTAGAGTTTGGAATGGGAATCTGTTTCTTTAAAGTCGTTGTCCCCCAAACTAGACTCACAACTTAACAGGAGTTTTGTGAATTCATCAATAATGTAATTCCACCCATCTATGTCCACTACCACACACATAAATTTGCCTCTGTGCATGCCTCATTTTTATCCTAACTGTTCAAATAACTTCAAAATTACTAGATATGTTATTGTGATTTAATTTTTGTAGGCTGGAGTGCCTGTAAGCATTCCGTGTCTGTCTTGTGCAATGGCATTTTTTTTTTTTTATGTGAGGTAAAAAATGGATGATGTGCGGAATGAATCCTCTCTGGCCCTGAAAGAGATACTTAATGTTTCATCCTGTCTTATGATTACTGGCTAGGAAAAAGCCATTATTGATTTAATACTCAAAGCCTTTCTATTTCTTAGCTGTGTTCTGACATACATTAAACAGACCTGTCATGCTAAGTTTATTTACTGGGAAGTAAAGACGAGTGTTTTTATTTTTTAAGATCCTTGTAGTTGAGTAAAAATAAAAACATAACTGGTTTAGATCCAGATCCAATTTCAACTGAATTCCCCACAGGTAGGAAATGAGGGAAGGTGATAAGTTTTTCAGATTATACCTTAAATCTCCTGGTTGAAAATGACACAGCAGCCTTCCAGCATTTCAAACAATTAGAATGGAGGTGAGGATCCAGGGGAAATAGGAAGCTGAGTGAGTCCAAGACAATAGACTGAGGTTAAATTGGACAGGACAGGTAATCAGACTGGACTTGTAGTCCCTGTTGTCCTCCTGAAGGTAAAAGTCTCTCCATAAATAAGACTATCAGAGCATGATTCTGTAAAGACATATGATGAACAAGGTCGGCTGCAGGACAAAAAATCAGGAGTAAGGTGAACTAAGTAATCTTTTTTCAACAAGTTTCATTCACAAAATAGAATAAATTTTACAAGTGCTGTGTTCACAAGATCAATCCAGAAGGGAATTTCAATTATTCCAGGGGAAGACACATGCTAAAACATCAAGAAACCACAAAAGTACATACTTTATCTCA